ACGACACCAGCATATAAAATCAGCCTTGAAAATAAATATTAAAAAATGTGCATACAGTGATCTTCTTTTACATATTAACAATCATTTTCATTTTAAATGCTTTTTGTAAACTTTTTATTCAACAATCCAAAATTATGTTGCTTGCTACATATGTACATATGTGTATTTATTTATTTTTAATAATTTTATTTTTAATAGTTCCATCTACTATATGACAACAGAAACCACATAACTAGAATTTTCAAAGCTTGCACAATATTCACAAAACTCAAGCAAACTGAAAAAAAAAATTTAACCAAAATTCCGAATTTTTTACAGAATCTTTCTACAATTTTCTGTTATGCAATTTTGTAGCCCACTAATAAAGTGCAAGTTTCAAGTCGCTAAATGTTACCGTTGTTTTCTTAGATGTTTTTTTGTGGAGGGTGTTGCGCATTATCTTCCATATAAAGAGCTCGTGGACTTTGTGCTGACACGAGCGCCTTGGCATATGCAACGGATTGGTGCCGAATAGCGGCAGCACAGTTAGTGAATCGCACAATCGTTACTGCAAACAACAAAAATTGTTAGCTTACAACTCATTGTTAAAAGTTAGTGAATCGCACTACAGGACTAAAGTCCTCTCTCGACGTATGAAAACCCCACTCTAAAAGTCACTTATCATGCCCGTGTTGGCATATGGCGCCGAAGCGTGGACAATGACAGCATCCGATGAGGCGGCTCTTGGAATATTCGTGAGAAAGATTTTGCGGAAGATATACCGGCGTTTACGCGTTGGCGACGGTGAGTACCGCAGACGATGGAATGATGAGCTGTATGAGCTTTACAACGACATGGCCATAATGCAGCGAATTAAAATACAGCGGCTCCGCTGGCTTGGCCATGTCGTTCGAAAGGACTCCGACGTTCCAGCTCTGAAAGTATGCAACTCGGAACCCGCTGGTGGTAGCAGAGGAAGTGGGAGGTCTCCAATGCGTTGGAAAGACCAAGTGGAGAAGGACTTGGCTTCACTTGGCATTTCCAATTGACGTCAGTTGTTGAACTGGGCCAAGATCGCTTAGGCGGGTACAGCACCAAATAAGAAGAAGAAGATTAACCATGCTGTTAAATTCTGCACAATTGGAAAATTTCAAGAACTTGTTCACAGGCATAGCACCTACGTTAGGTTATTTAAATAAGCAAATGCCCACTAAACCATAACCTTAGCAGAGGACTGTGGCAATGAAAATCGTGTATTATTGGTGAAAATGTTGGAAAGAGTTTCAATAAAAAAATTAATTTTAGGTGGGACGAAGTACACCGGGTCTGCTAGTCATTAATAAAAATATTACAGTAAACATCAATGTATAATATGTATCTGCCAATCAACTGCTGAACAGGCTAACCATATATTCGCGGCTTGCGTTTTGGTGCGCATGCCGTCGAATTTGTTTTTTTTTTTGCATCACCCGAAATTGGCTTGCGTGCGCAACGTCAAATCAAAATGTCACGCAGAACAAAAATTTGAAATTGAGTTAACTTTATACGCACGCCGTTCAATTTCGGTTGTTTCCATACATGCATGTGCATGAGAAATTTTTGACAATAAATTGGCGGAATGCGTGAATATTAGGTTAGCCTGCAACATACAGTAATAGACTGAAGTTAAATTTTATGATGTTTATGAATGGTAGGAAGCCTTCGGCATAGCCGAAGACAACACTGTCCGTACTTGATTTGCTTTTGGTTGACTATTTTCAGGATAAGCCCATATGTACAATTTCATTAAAAAAAATCTATATTTTCGAAAAGGGCTGCTGCTATAACTCTATTTAAACCCTCTTGCAGAAGCGACCAATATAAATCAGAACAATTTGTCACGCAACACAATTGTGCCGTTTGTGGAAGCCACAGAACGTGAGACGGCAGCATCAACAAAGATGGCGAAGTCAATGCCTCGATCATATAGCATGCCAAACGTGCCTGTACCTCCACCAATGCCGCCTTCAACCGAGAGCGAGCCACTAACGCCAAGTGGTACCCTAAGACGCAATATGGCTGCTGCCGGAAGTTTGGCAGGTAAATAAAAATATAAAAATATTTCTTTGTACTTATGTATGTAAATAAGTATGTATGCACATAAATAATAGGTATGTATGTATCAGTGTGACCACTTAATGAGTAATTCCTCAAAACGTGAGGAATTTCGGGTGCGCTTGATTATTTTTTGAGGAATTGTAAATCGCTCTGCAAATTTTTGAAGAAAAAGCTTTCCGAAGTTTTATAAAGATCGAAATCAGAGCTGGGTCGTAATGATTCCTTTAGGAATTAAACTACTCCCAATTACAGATTACAAGGAATTGTAATTAGGAATCAATTTCTTCAGTCCACAGCAAAGGAATCGATTACTTTTTCAATTCCTTGAAGTAATTTCAAATGTAATTGGTTTTTTCTTTAATTCCATTACAAGGAATTTCATATTGTAATTGGAATAAATTACGTGCTAGTAATATAATTTGTTTTCCAATTCCTTTAAAAGGAATTAAAAATGTAATTGATTTTTTTTCAATTCCATTACCTGGAATTGCAAGAGTACTTTAGTTTTTTCAATTACACAAAGGAATTGTCAAAGTAATCGAGAAACTGAAAGTTCATTCACGAATGTACAATGTGGAATTTTTGTTGTGGTCAAAGATTAAAATCGAAAGCACACATGGGACATCTTCTATGTATATCTATATATATAAAAATGTTATGTTCGTTATCAAAACCCGAGAACGGCTGAACCGATTTGAATAATTTTTTTTATTGTTCGGTATAATATCAGAACCAATGACATCGCAAAAATTTGGAGGGTTGCCACCTATTTTAAAATTTTAAAACCCAATTATATTGATAAAATTAATGAATTATTACAATATGGGTATCAAGTTAAAGAGGTTTAAGAAAGATAACTGCTGGAAGTATTTTTGACGAGGGTTGCCACTTATTTAAAAATTTAAACTCAGTCAAATTGTTAAAAAAATGAAATATTGCCATGTGGGTGTCAAACTAAAGAGTTTTAAAGAGGCTTACTGCCGAAAATATGTTTGTGGAGGGTTGCCATCTGTTTGAAAATTTAACTAAATTACATTGATAAAATAAATAAAATATTACAATATGGGTATCAAATTAAAGAGGTTTAACTGTTGGAAATATTTTTGAGGGGGGCTGCCAGCTATTTGGAAATTGTAACTCAGTGAAATTGATAAAGTAAATGAAATGTTGACATGTGGGTGTCAAACTAAAGAGTTTTAAAAAGGCTTACAGTCTACCATGAACACTTCCAGAAATATGCACTATGAAAAGTTCGGTTTATATGGGAGGTGCCACCCCCATTCTCCAACCATGCAAATTTTTCTCCATGAGTATGGAATTGGTCTTATATATTTATGTATGTATCACCATACCCAGTTCTAGTCCTCTACCACAAATATATGTAGTTTGAAAAATTCGGTTTGTATGGGAGGTGCCACGCCCCCTTTCTATATCGAAACTTTTTTTAGCCTATAACCATCCTTGGAAAGTCTGTAGTAGATTCCAAAATTTCAAAAAAATCGGTACGGCCTTTCTCGAGCTTTGCGAACAGAAAAAAACGCCTTTCAAAATACATATTAGTATAGACTAGCCAATATCTGCTTGCTTTGCGGCTTAAAACACTACTACCGATGAAAATCGATGGATAAATAAACAAGTTTGCAAGGGTTAAGTGAAAGTGCAATAATTTTTTGTATGAAATACTAGCAGGAAATAATGTTACCCATACGCCATACCGTACATGACCATGTTAAAGTTTGAATTTTTTTCATTCGCAATGAAAACTTAAAATGAAAATAACTTGACTAAATGACCTTATCTAAAAAAAAAACAGTATACAGATCCGTAACATACTACTTAAAATTAATTTTACGTCTCTCGGCGTTTTTTGTGTAATTTTAGCGTCGTTACAGTGTTATCATCAAAATTTAGCCATAGCAATGAAATCTGTTTATAAAACTCTTAGGAGGTAGGATCTCCAGTCCCACAGGGCTCGTAATTCAAGCGGACTCTATCCTCATTTGTAACGCAGGATACCAGTAAGAGTACTTCAAAGGCCCCAGAAGGCACGCCATTTTGGGTAGAATTAAGGGTACCATAATATACACAATTAACTCGTGCATTTTTATATATACGCAGGGATTAGTCCAAGAGAACAGCAGTACCTTAGGCAGCAACATTTATGGGTCTCAGCTGCCGCGAAGCGCTTTCGCGGTAGGATCTGGAAAATTTAACCGTTACCCTATAAACTGAACAGCTACAGTTTAAGCTATTCAGTTTTCGTAAAGTCCAATTAGTAATACTACTTAGGTTTAAGTTGTTTATTCAAGGCAGTTAGCAACAGGGTACGAAAATAAACTGTACAAAACAATTCCCATTTGCTCATCGATCATCATATCATTTGTGGTTTTGTACAGTTTTGTACATAGTCAGAAACAAATTGTAAGATTCACTGTCATTTTCCCCAACGAGAAACGTTTGCATTTCGTTTGTGACAATTGTACCATATGGTACGTTTTATATGTATGCAAACGTTTCAATTACGTGAAAAATATTTTTTTCTGTAAATTTTCATATCCAATTCGATTAAAAACATTTTTATTTTTTTATTCATTGCAGCCATTCGTTTTGTATTTAGTTATTGCATATATGTACATACATACATATATTTTTTTCTGCACGATTCATTTCGTTTGTTGTTTCGTATGTACCTACTAACTACTGTAGTGTACTATCGCCAAAGTGAACTCAGCCGTTTTGTTTTCGTATTGTACCGAACTGTTAAAGTAGTAAACGAAACGAAATAGTAACGTACAATATAGTTTATTTTCGTACACTGGTTAGCAACCAAGAAATTTAACAAAGCTATTGCAATTCAACAGTGAAAAAGATTTTTTTTATAAATTTTTCGATTACTTTTTAAATTACTTTGAGGAAAGGGATGGGAAAAAAAATCAATTACATTTTCAATTCCTTTCAAAGGAATTGGAAAAAAAATTACATTTTCAATTCCTTTCAATGGAATTGAAATAAAAGAAATTACATTACTAGCACTTAATTTATTCCAATTACAATATGAAATTCCTTATAATGGAATTAAAGAAAAAAACAATTCCATTTGAAATTACTTCAAGGAATTGAAAAAGTAATCGATTCCTTTGCTGTGAACTAAAGGAATTGAATCCTAATTACAATTACTGAGGAATGTAATTGTAATTGTAATGTAATTGCATTTACCCAGCTCTGATCGAAATACACCACACAAGCGGCTTCTTAAACATTCTTCATACCTACTTTTCCTATTTCGCCATACACCATGTAAACATGACTCGTTCAAGCAAAGAATTTTAGTTTTCTTCCAGTTCACAATAGGGGTATTCTCTGAGTCTTGCAAAGCCCTTGCATGGTGCACAGATTGCACGGATTGCACGATAAAAACCGGTTTTCGTATGGGACAGCTTCGCAAACCGTGCAATCCGTGCACCGTGCAAGGGCTTTGCAAGACTCAGAGAATACCCCTAATGTAAAAGAGTTTGGTTCTCTTCAATTTATCTCTCCTGCGTCCTCACTCGGTAAAAATTCCGTTGCTATTTCATAGCTCAAAGGTGCAGGATAGGTTTGGTTAGGTTAACGCTGCGTGCCGATTACCAAATTTAGAATGCGGCTAATTTTGATCCCTGAGAGCTCAGTGTTAGTTCAGAAGAGCGAGCCAAAATGCTTCCATCTTAGCCTCGCGAATATGGGACAGTATAAAAGAGAGCGTGGAGATGATTCCACTTCATCTTCCTCTTGACAGCTAATATTAAAGGGATCAGTTACCTTACCGAGTGAATATCAATTGGACAATGGCTTGTCAGAACCCCCATCACTAGCTCTTGAGAGGTAACATTGTATTCGGGACCTTAAAAGGGCAAAGATTGGTCACTCGTTACTTACGCTGCAAAAATTGTTTTAATGTGCGTATAAAAACATTTGCTGCAGCGGAGAAACGTCTTTTTTTGCTCTTTTATGTCACAAAAGGAGCATCGCTCTCTTTTGTCCATTTTATTAGGTATTTAGTAAAATATACAATTTCATTATCGCGAGTACGAAGTATGCGTGTTAGTCTAGCGCTCGCCGAGCGCAGGAGGACAGAGGCGTCCCTAGTTGCTCCTTATCTGGGGATAACGTTTTAAGGGTGCCGTTCCAACGCCAGGTCATCAGCCACGCAGTTTTGCGCGATGTCACTGTGACCCGGCACCCAAAGTTAGAAGTTAGATATTCCTTTACCGATTTCTAACGCACCATCACACCCTTTAGGCAGCTATTTCTACCTGAAAGACACTGCAGAAGTCCGGAAACCTTAGTAACCCCGCCCTACCCAGCCCCCTCTTGAGGGAATATAGGTAGAGAAGGAGCTTTTGGGAGGAATTTCGGAGGCACTGTAACCTATGTGTTCAGGGCGAAGTAAAAAACCGCCATAACTCCAGAGTGTTACCACCCGGGTTTCTTTAGCCTAATAGTAGTTCGTGCTGCTAAAATTCTGTCTGCAATATCCTCAGGCGTCGTGTTCAACATGACGTTAAGCGCCACTATAGGTGTGGTTCCTAATGATCCACTAAGGTAAGTGTACCCATTTCCGTGCTAGTACCTAATTCCGTGCTAATTTGGCCAACAATTTTCAAAATAGAGAAATAAGAAAATGTTCAAGCATTTTTGAATAAACAAGTTATTAAACTGATTACCATCGTCCAAGTTTCCAAATATCGTACCTCGCAGCCTCCAAGTATCATTATTATAATTAAAACTTGCAACTGAGTATCAGTCAACTACAAAATGTTAGTTAAACCCATGTGTCAGTGAATAGTGTTCGCAAAATTGCTAAGAGCGTGGTGAAAAATTCGTAAGGGTCTAATCTTGAATTGACAAGTATATATATATATTTGTCTTCCGATAATGGAAATTTTAAGTATTTTTTGTATAAATTTATCTATAAAAACCAGTGTATAATAAAAAAGTCATTG